GATTGGGATTTACAGGAGTACAGTACAGGAGCCGGCATTGCCACATAAAAGATTTCATTTTTGCTGCTTGATGCAATGATGATGATGCAGTGTACATAAAGTTAAAAGATTAAAGCTAATAAATCAAATTTCATTTCATTCAATTTTATATGTGTGCATGAGCTAACTTGTAAAGCCCTTTGGTCAGCTGTGTCGCCTTTAAACGTGCTATAGAAATGGCACTAGACAATGGAGAAAGGATAAACTGAACCCATTCATAACCATTCATGGCCAGCTTGATCCAAGCGGTCCTCGGTAGCCATGACAACGAAGACGTCCCACAAATCCCGTTGGGCAAAACCAATGATGCACACCCTGCAACTAAATATATTATTACTCTCTCTCCTACAGTTTACATAATCTGACGAATTCTGCTAATTAGTCGATGACGTCATTTAGCCACTTTTAATGACTTTTCGGAAAGTACCGATTTTCCTTACTGAGAAGCTGGTAACACTGTTTGAAGCAGACACACATTGCCAGGGTTGTGGTTGGCACGGCTGACTGGGTAACACCTTATGACCAGCTAGTGACAATGGCACTAGCATTTACAAGGAACTTGCTTCTGACAAATATTGCAGTACCTCCGCCTCTTTAGGTTTAGTCCTATATACATTATACCCATCAATACTTATAACCCTTCTTGTAATAGATTCATCATCTGAAACAATAACATCTACATCAGTCCAATGTGCCCATACATGAAGCATATCCATCTTGGAACGTAAGCTACCTACATTCAGTTGAAAAAAATCTAAGACCTGATCTAAATTTAAAATCAGCAGGTGTTAAACTCTGGAGTATCAGGACCAGGATTTGGTTTAACATTCCCAGAGATAAGAAGTAGCAGAAGAATGACACGCTTCTGCTGCAGTGAAAATAATAATAATTTTTTTTTTAGTTTAGCATAAAATGGCAATGATATATATTTCACCTCTGTAATATTTTGGACATTTATAATTGAGCTATGTGTATATATTAGAGCTATTTGTTATATTTTGTAACTGTGTAATATGTTGTTTTATTTAATTTTGTTCAGCCTTTTACTGCTTCTATTGTCTTGGAGCAACTGTAACCACAGCATTTCCTTAGGGGATTAATACACTCTTGTGATTCTATTGCACTTTCAGCTCCAGCATGCAGAGAATGTGTTAAACATTTTTCCTCTGCCACCTAATAAAAATATCCAAAAAGAACACAGAGGCTTCCACCTGACCCAAATGACCACAACTACCACATATGTTTAGTGTCAGTTCATCTGATTATTAATTTTTAGGATTCAGATGTGCTGTTTCTTCTATTTAATGTCAGACACTTGCAAAAAAGTTTGTATATTGGAAAACTAAAACACTGAAACGGTAAGTTCAAGAATCAACAGAGAATACAGTGCTTAACCATTTTAATTTGTTAAATTTGTAAGAACATTTTTTGAAAATTTTTTCTGCTTCAAAATTGCTTTAGCAAAGTAAGAGTCAAAGCATGACATCTCTCATGATCAGGGCTGGACTGGGACAAAAAATCAGCCCGGGCATTTTGACTAGAGACCGGCCCACCAGGTATTATAGGAAAAACCATAAAACCTTTGAATGAAATCAAACGTCGTTGTGACAGTGATGTACACTGTCTTGTTGGTACATATGTATCAATCTAAAAAACTTAAACCTACACCATCCTCCCTATTCTGGTATTCTAAACAGTATTTAGCTGAAACCCAAAGACTGCTTGGTTGAGTTAACTTCCTGAACTATCTACAACATATGGTGGAAACCTGAAATTAAGACAGAGAAGAATAGAG